TGGTGAATTTTTGCTTCCCTCTGTTTACAGATTGTCTAGGAGCAGATTGCAGCTTTCGCACCTCAATTCATTATTGGAAACTATTTGCAGATAGTTCCCAGTCTGCAACTCATTTGCTAACTCTGTTGGGAGTACTGCAGATCTGAAATCAGAGATGTTTTGAATGGTCATGTGGTACTGCCATGCTCTCATTCCTCCACGAAATATACGTGACGTTTAGAATCAGGCTTTAAGGGCAGATGCTCCTAATCAGGAACTAGATGTTTGTTTTCTGCCAGTGCTCTCCAGCAGCCGTCTTGTATGTTCTTACAGCTGCCCCAGCCGGGACACCCAGCAACACAAAGCGAGTAGGAATCAAAAAGAATAAACTTAAACTCGAAACAAATCAAAACAAGCAAACAATAATTGTAGAAGAACTGTATCTCGCTGTCTCAAAGCAGAGAGACAATGCTCAGCAAGCTCGGAGGGAAAAACAAAAGGCTGACCCACTTACTGAACATATGAGCTGCAGCCCACACCATCCATGTGGTGGAGCTGGGAACAGCAGAGCTCCTGAATTTCTGACTTGTGAGCAGTGATAGGGCCTGGGGGTGACCCCAGCTGAGTCATTCTGGTGTGGCTGTGATGGAGCTGTCATGTTTCATCTGTTGCTCTCAGGAGTGTTCCTACTCCTTGGTCACTGCAGTCTTGAATCCTATCTATCCTGTATTCAGAGGGAAAGAAACCTACACCCTGATCAGAAATCCAGTGGCAGACCTTGATAAGGCTAGATACTGGGGATGCAGAGTCTTTCTCTGCAGAGCCCACCTGTACCCAGGTCCATGATGAAGTCCCTGTTCTGAATCAACTGTTTGGCCTGGAAGTCACTGGAAGACATCTCTTAAGGCTTTGCATTTCCCTTTCCTCAAAGCTTTCCAGCACTGCCAGTTGCTTCACAGTCAGGGCAGAGTAAGCTTGGGGCAGCTCCGAGCCACGTGCAAGCTCTCATCCAGCTAAGTCTCCCTGAGACCTGAATTCGAGCAGCTGTCTGTGAGAGATGCCTGGATGAGCCCTACAGAGGTGCTGAAGGATTCCTGGCATGTCCCAGTCTCGGCAGCACTGCCAGGACCAGGTGGGAACCTTTTGCTGCATGACGAGAAGGGATTGATGTGTCAGGCTGAAGCGAGAGCTGAGATGATTTACAGGAGAGACTCGTCCAAGCCGACCCTATTGCTGAGGCAGAAGAAGTCTGAAATCCAAGAGAAATCACGAAGCAGAAGCGATGAGGCTCATAATTCACCTTCCTGGGAGAGGCAGCATCCATGGGGAATCACTGCCTATGGCAGGGGCTGGATGCACTGAGAGAAGGGAAGCTATTCTCGCTCTGCCTTATCCATCCAGGCACTGCAAGGCTCTGGTACATTTTTCATGGCTGTAGGAGCAAAAAAACACAACAAGGCATGTAAGAACAATAAAGATATTCAATGCCTTTTCTTGAACTAAAGTGATCTGGTGAGGAGATGAGACAGTTGACAGAGATGGGGTGGGGTTGGGTGGATCAAGCCAGGCAAAGGTCATACTGTGAAGCTGCTCCTGGGCCAAGTCTGGATGCCTGGGAAGTGGCAGAAGGGTTCTGCAGTGAGAGTCATGGAATCATTACCGTTGGAAAGGACCACTAAGATTATGTATTCCAAGTGTCAAAGGAAAATAGGATGGGTGTCCACCTATGGATACGGGGGCAAGAAGAACATGGAACATGTCAAGGAACCTCGGGGCACTGTTGGGATGTCAGAGGCCACTTTGCTCCATCCGACCCACTGTCCTCCTGCTATACAAATGGACGCAGGTAGTGAGCAATCTGTGCTCACTGCAAAGGCGAAAGTGAAAACTGGAAAGCTTCTTACCCAAATGGTTCTTTGTGGTAGCAGGGCCCAGCCCTAGGGAGCTCTTGAGTTGCAGAGGACTTCAGTGCATAGACGATCAATGGGAATACACTGTGCAGGTGCTGCGTTCCCCTGGTACGTGTGTTAAAATGTGATTTTCCCCTTCTGGCTCTCCACCCTTCTTCTCATCACCTTCAGACCCAGGAATTTGCCCCAAATGTGCTACAGCCACTGTGGTCACATGAGTGAGCAAGCAGCTAGTCAAAGCCTTGCAAACAATACTCACGATCCAAAGGAAGAGAACTGATCTACATGTGATTAAGAGCTAGGTAGAGACGATCTTGTAATTATCCAGTCAAAGCAAGGTGTCTCTTGATCTGAGTGAATACTGGCTCCTTTCCAAGCTGCAAATGAGCTGCACAGAACTCCTCACGCTGTAATTGCGAGCCACCTCATATCTCCCAGGAGATCGCCTGCTTGGGAGGCTCTTTCTCTTTGCTAGACAGTGCTTAGCCATGTTGGGAAATGGAAAGCACAAATGTCCACCAGGCACAGAGGGAAGATCCTCCTGTGTCTTATAACATGAGACTGGAAAGCCAGCTGGCACTAGGGTGAACCACTTTGCATGCCAGGGTCACAGCCACCACGTTCCTTCATGGTGTCCTGTGTGCTACAGACTGTTGGGTCTTAAACCAGCCCAAAGTGGGGCAGGGATCTGCTAGAAAAGTCAGGCCCAGCACTCTGTGGATGTGCTCTCTCCACTTCAAGATTAACCTTTCAGAAATGTCAGCCAAACAGCCGCATACAACCTGCTGCCTTGGTGTTAGAACCTGTAATTTTTGGCCTTGTGACTATAGCTTCAGTTAACTCCTTCATTGCCTGTGTTCACTTTCCTGCTCTCCCCCAGACAATTCCAGCTCCAAGGTCCTTTTATCTGCAGTGATCTTCATGCTCTGCATGTAGGCGACCCCTCTTTCCCAATGCACTGCTTGGGATGGCAATGTCAGAGGGCACTACTCAAACACGAGTGCTTGGAGGTGTGTTAACAAGGAGAAGCAGCATATTGCTGACTTGCAGGAGCTGGACTGTCATTGAAGAAAGAGTAGGGCAGGGTGGGATCATCCTTCCTCGCCTCCCCAGATGTCCAAAAATCAACAAAGCATGCTACCAGCAGAAAGCAGAAGGACTCTGTGTCTACTGCCAGAATTCACCTTTCCTTTAGACCTAAAACTCTTTCATCTGCTTCTTCAGGGCAGATCTGCTACCTGTCACAGGACCCAAAGGAGACAGCAAACTGCTAAATAGGCCATGGTTCCATCTGAGCCAGGAGGGTTAGAAATTGAGAGCACAGCACTCCCTAGACAGCATGTTCTCAAAAATTTTGGGGCAATGTGTGCAGGACAGGCAGAGAAGAGAGGGGCTGTATGGTGCAGGGTGGGGTTGGGCAGCATGCACTGTATTGGGTGCAGGTTGGGAGTCGACATGGGCAGGAGTACAGCTGGAGATTGTCCTTATGCAGAATGAGTAGAGGAAATGGTATGCAAAGCAAGTTGAGTAGAGAAGAATGGGATGGGATGGGATGGGATGGGATGGGATGGGATGGGATGGGATGGGATGGGATGGGATGGAGGCAATGCCCTGCCTTTGAGCCAAGCTGGGGAGGGAGCTGCCCCCAGGACCCCACACATCTAGTCCTGGCACAGGATGATTTTGTCCAAAGTCAAAGTGAGGACATCCCTCAAAGCACATCCTGCTTCCAGCTGTTCCCCAGCTGTCCCCAAAACTTAAGCCTCCAACAGTGAGTGTTACTGCATAAGAATGGGGCTACATTTACATTTGGGAGGCTCTGTCTCGTCTTGAGGAAAGCCAGATTCATCTCTATCTATTGGTGCCCTGAAAGACCTGCATGTGAGGTAGGTTCTGGAGAAGAGCCATACTGTAGGCTGTCTGGTGCTCAGGGTCCTACCTTGGCCTCTAAATCTTGAACTGCAACAGAACATGACAGCTACTTCAGAACCTCCCCAGCTTTGTGCACTTCTATGACTTGGTGATGACATGGTGCCAAACAGCCCCAGGCACTGTAAAAAATAAAGCTGTATTCCCACAGCTTGGCCAAGATATACTGCTCTGTTTGCAGTCCCTGAGACCGTCTGAGGGATCCCTACATAGCTCTGCCAGCTGCAGCTGACCTGATGATCTGACACTGTTCCCAAAGGGAACCTTTCCCCAGCTCCACATTTACACTTTGCTTGTGGATGATGGGTACAATGACAGCAAAAGGTATCTAGAAGACATCTGGAAGGCACACAACCCAGATGCCTGTGGACAGCTGAGGCTGCTTGCCTAATTAGAGTCCACTCTTAATAAATGCCCTCCAGCTGGCTCAGATGCCCAATTGAACTTTCCTTTGGTTGCATTTCTTTTTTTCTTTTCTTCTTCTCTCTCTCCACAGATGACTGCAGGCATTGAAGGTCTTTGGCTGAGAGGAGACACTGTACCAGTTTCCTGACTCATTTGATACCATACCTACAGAGAAAACTGGGTAGACCTTCAAGAATGTGGTTGCAGCACAAGCCCTGGGTGCAAGCAGCTGTGGAGATGGCCAAGATAAAGGTGGCAAGTCATAAGAGAGATATGAATATTCAATAGCATACATACCCCTACATATATAGGTAACTGCTACCTATATCTATATGTATATATATATATATATATATATATATATATACACACATGCATATGTACAGGTAGCAGTTTGAAACCTCCCATTAGCAGAGCCAGAGCCACCATGTCTTCCTGTTCAAAATGTTCAAAACGTTCTGCTGTTTCTGGCACCATCCTTCCTGTCTCCTTTGCCCATTGAGCAAATGAGTTCAGTTTAATGAGATCTGGCTTCCTGCTCCTCAGGATAGCTGCAGATGGGAGTTGCCTGTGCAGTAAGCACTGTCTGCTCCAGGACAGGGAAACTAGTGAGAGGGATGAGGATAGAAAACCACCTTCACTTTGTTTCATCTCCAACCAGTGTAAATATTATGCTTTTAGGTAAACCGAGGTAAGCTCTTCTCCTTGCATCAAGCAGGAAAACGATCCCAAAAGCACACGGGTGGGATGAAATCGGGTAGAGGTGGAGGGGTGAAGATGCGGACTCTGCCTTCTCTGGGCCTCCCCGGGGAACGCAGTGACCCCACAGCAACAGAAACGAACCCCGGCAGCGGGCCCTGCGGCAGAGCCGAGCCGTGTGCCTCCGCGACCTGCCCGGATGGGAGCCGGCTCGGGAGCGCCCGGATCCTTTCGTGAGCCCCGTGCCGTGCGCTGCGGGCTGCGGGCGGCTCCCGGAGATGCTGCCGGTTGGAGGCGGGGGAGCGACCGGCCCGATGCCCGCAGCCGCCCGGCCGGCCCTATCAGCGGCATCCTTTAGGTGGCACCTCTCCTCCAGGAATGAGCCTCCCGGCCCCGCACCGCCCTGCCCGGGCACCGCGGGGACCCGCCGCCGTCGGAAAGGCTCCGGCTGCCCCCGGAGCGGCCCCTCCCTCCCTCCCTTCCTTCCTTCCATCCCGTGCCCGTCTCCCCCGTCCTCCCTCTCACTCCTCCAGCCAGTAAATCCGAGCTAGGCTGATTCCTCTCACGTCAAACCACATGATCCCATAAAACATTCATCGCCTCTCCAAGCCCCGCGCCCCGCTCGCTCGCTCCCGGGATCCGCCGCTGCAAGGCTCCGCGCTCCCCTCCGCCGCCTCCGGCTCTGCCTCCGCGGGATCCGCCGCAGCTCCGGCCCCGGCCCCGTGCGTGCGGCGGGCGGGAGGGAGGACGGAGGGAGGAGGCAGGCGGGCGGGCAGGGAGGGAGGGGGAGCCTCGCCTGGATGCTGACTCCAGCTCGGGGGCTGCTCATTCCCCCGATGAGCGAGGGCACCGGCACAGGGAGAGCCCCCTCCCCGCGCTCCGCTCCGCGCTCGGGCTGAAGTTTTTGCACGAGGACCTGCTCCGCTTTCTCAAGGATTGTACCGCCGCCGCTCGACTTTGCGCCTCCAGACGTGCCTTTCCCGACCCCTAAGATGAAGAGGGCGATAGCTGAAGGTAGGTGCGTCCCCCCACCCCCTGATACCCCCCCCTACCGAGACTCCCCAGGGCAGGGCAGGGCAGGGCAGAGCGAGGTGGCCACATCCCCCGGTGCGGTGCGAACTTGGAACTTCCCTGCCTGCAACTTTCTTCGTCGGAACGGCCGGGTCCCACTGTTGGGGGAGCGCGGCCGGAGCCCACCGGTTGGGGGTCCGCATCTCTCTGGGCTCGGGAGAGGCGGAGGGGTGAGCGGAGGCTGAGGCCGGGTTGGATGGGGGTAACACGGCTGTGAGCTGCGGTCTGAGGCCCCTCCTGCCCTCTGTACCCCCGCCTCGGTGCGGCCGGGCTCCCCCCGAAGTTGGGGCAGGCAAAGTGTTAAGGAGGTTGGGCCGGGGGAAAAAGCGGCATCCTCTGCTCTCAAGGCTGCCTCCCACCGGGGCGCAGCCCGTGCTGCTGGGGGAGGTGGCCGGAACGGCGGAGCCTGAGAGGAGGGCGGAGGCAGCCAGCCCGGCTTTTCCTCCGCTCCTTTCTGGGCTGCCGAGGAGCGATGCTCCGCTCCCGACGATGCTGCGGAGGAGCTGCGGGTGCCTCCGGCCGGGGAAGTTGGCGGAGGTTGCGAGATCCCCGAGACCGGGGATGTGCACGGGGCTGACCCCTCTCTAAGGGACCCCCGCCCGCTTCGGTGCCCAGCAGCGAGAGTAGCTCGTGGAGAAGCCCGGCAGAGCAGCCTCCTCTCGCTGCAGATCTCCCTTTTCCGTCTGCTCTAGCGGCCCTTTTGCTTTTCAGTTGCCGGTGCGGACGGATCGGGCTGCAGCCCCCCGTGAGGGGATGCACCTCTGTAAGCTCGTGGCTTCGCCCATCCCATTTGCAGTCCCTCCGGGTGAAACCCGACATGAAGACCTGCTTTCGGAGGAACACAGGCTCTCAGGTTCGGGCCGCTTGGAAAAGCGTCCCCAGGTGTGCTGCTGGAAACCCAGCCCGAGGGCTGCAATACTGAACTCGAGCCATCAGCCCCTCGTAGCAGCTCCTTGGCTGCCCAGGCTGCTGGATGGGGGAGCGTTTGCCACGCAGAGCTGCATGGAGTCCCTTTCCCATGTGTGCCATCTCCTGCCCGCTTCCTTTCTCCATCAAAGATACCCTATTTATTTATTTATTTATTTTTTTTGCATTTCATTTTGATTTGCTTTCTTTTTCTTTTTGGAAAGCACTCCAGCTCATTCATTGACGCCGGTCGAAAGGATGCTCCCCAGCTCTGCTCCATACACACCACCTCTTTCGGAGGGCTCCTTTTCAAGTTCCATAATGACCAATTGCTTTCTGTTCAGCAAACACCTTGGGGAGGAGCAGGGGGGAGCTGGTTGTGGTGTCAGCCTGCGGGGCCCTTGGGTGATGCTGAGATGCCGGCATCCCTTTGCTATGTGTTACAGGCTTTTGGTTGATCTGAGCCCCATGGCTGCCTGCTGTGATGCTGGCAGTGGTACCCAGGTGATGGGTGATGGGTGTGGTGCAGCACTGGGGCACTCTGTGATGCTGCAGTGCTGTCTCTGCACCGTGACTTTCCTGTATTTCCAGCTGCTACCGAAGATAATGAAATACAAAACCCGTGTTACAACAGCTTTATTTATAGAACAAAGCTTTCAGGGGGTTGACTTTTTATTTTTTTTTTTCAATTTTTTTTTTTCTCTTCCTACTGCTTATGAGAGGCTATGGGTTGCTGGTAGGTGTGACTGTGAAGTCCTTATAAGCCTTAGGAGACGCTGTTTGGATGAGTGACCATGCTCCTGCATCTGGGCTATGTTTCCCACTGCGGGCTGCCAGGATGCTCCGAGTGCTTTGTAAGCCAGAAATAGCCACCAGGGGCAGTTAGAGGCAGAGCTTTCACCTGGTGTTCTCAGCACTTACTGCTTTATTAACACAATTTATTTATATTGAAAGATTTTTTCCAAGCTTTTTCCTTCTTTCTTTCTATCTTTTTTTTTTTTTTTTAAATAGGATTTCTTATGCATTACAAAATCCTGTAGTATAAGAACTTACACCAAGCTTAGAGAATATTTATTTGGAGATGCAGCAGCAGTTCCTTCTTTTCCTTGAGAGAAGACACCATTCACCAGTGCATTATTTTATATATTTCCTTTCTGTACTTTGTTCATTCATTTCAAGGAGCCTCAGCATTTCCTGAGCTTTGTTCCCTCTTCCCCACCGGGCAGCACAATGCTTCGGTCCAACGTTCTGTGGGTCCATCCGTGGATGTGTTCTGAGAGGCTTTTTAAAGTGGAATATCACAGCCCAAATATCGAGGTGCCGTTGTGCTGCTCCATGCTGTGAGGTTGTGTCAGGGCAGATGTGGTTGTGTCTCTGCTGGTTTGGTGATATTTTCCCCTCTAAGAGAAAGCTGGCCCGGAAAATAAGGGAATTGGAAGCAGTGAGAGCTGCTGCTGCCCTCTGCACTGCTGTGGTTTGTGGGCAGCAGGTGTTTGTGTTGCTGACCAGAACGTGGGGAATGTGGCAGCCCTGTCCTTGCAAGCCTTGCTCTTTGTTAATTACCTGCATCCCATGTTTGGGTGCTTTGGGCTTTGCATAGTGGCAACTATGTTGGCAGCTCATAAAGGTGCAGAAGTGGTGGCTGTGGGGAGGAAGGGAGTAAAATCGGCAAATCCAGCAGCACCTCTGTGAATTTTGGCTCAGAAGCAGTGAGAGAGACTGAAATGAGGGCAGAGAAGGGAAGGATGCTCCGGATCCCAGCTCCCGGGCATGCTGCCATGGGCCCTGCATACCCAATGATGCTGCTGCATGGAGCTGCTGCCTGCTCCGAAAGCGCAGCATCCTCCTTCCCTCCCCAGTCCAAGCCCCAAAAGGAGGGGAGGAGGAGGAGGGAGAGGGGAGATGGGTTGAGCCAGAGCCTCTGCACAAAGCAGGACAAGGAAGATTGTGAAGAGCTGAGCTTTAATCCTTGTGCTGAGCTTGCCTGTGGCTGCTGTGCCCACTGTGTGTGGCTCGGCCGTGCTGCAGGACGTTCCCCAGTGGGGAGGCTGAGGCCATGGGAAGCAGAACCGAAGGGCGAAGAAAGGAGTCAGTCTAATTAAGCATGTGCTCTCTTGCCTTGGATTTGCAACGCTCCACGCTGCCGTCACCTTCATTAAGACATTTCTCAGAGTGCCAAGTGCCTCTTTTGATGTTCCTAAAGGGGTTTGTTTATCCAGGAGACGCACACACAAGGAAGCAGAAGCATCCTGTACCATTGCAGCACTGCATTGTGGTGCCTGCAAGGGCTGGGAATTGCACCAGGGTTTCTCCCTCCCATCCTTCTGCTGTAACCTGGAGCCAATTGGGTCTGTGTACTGTATGTGTGGGAGGGAGGTGGGAGCTTGTGGTCCACAGAGCCCAACCTCTCCTTCCCTTTTTGCTATGGTTGCAACTCCTGGAGGTTTCCAGAGGCTGAAGGAAAAGGGAGAAAACTACACTGAAAAGTCAAGAAGCAAAGGGTGGATCCTCCCATTTTTGGCATAGAAATGCCAAAATAATTGCTACAGTATGCAAACTCACAGCTTACAGCTACAGCTGCACGCAGCAGCACAAGGTTTGGGTGATTTTTCCTATGGAGGTGTTCAGTGATGACTCAGAGCAGGGAGGCTTCAAAGTGGTTATTTCCTATAGTGTGTTTGCAGCACACATGGAAATCCTGCCTGGATTTGAGGCAGAAAGCATCTGCATGTGGCATGTATGGACTTTGTCCGTATTTCCCTTGCCTCACAGAGGTCCGGGCTTCTGCACCCTGCTCCAAGTTCTGCTTTTGAGTTCTCTGTGCCCTTGAGCAGATTGCTCAGCTTTTCCAGCTCTAACAATGGGAAAGTGATGCTGAGCTATCTCCCAGGGGGCCCAGAGTGCACACAGAGGTCGGCCCTGAGCTGAAGCATTCGGGTCCAGGCAGCAGTGACACGGCATCAGGACACAAGATGGATGGTGTTCTCCTTAGGGCTGGTGCTGCAGGTTTCTCTCTCCACTCTGGCCTTCCTCGTTGCCTTAGCATTGCAGCTTGGAGCCAAACATCAGCACCAGCACATTTTGCAGTATTTACTGTCTCTCTGCTCTTGGAATCAGGGGATTAGAGAAGTGCTTTGTTTTATTTTATAGCCTTCCTTCCTGGAGCTGCCAATGGAAGTCAAAGCATCGTACAAGAGCGTGCAAAAACACTTGAGAGTTTTGGAAGCAAGGAAGTTCTTGCATATCGTGATTTTTAGTGCCATTTCTGGAAGTCTCATCAGGGCCTGCATCCCCTGGGGTGCACCTGCCTTATTTACAATGAGCCACCATTTGCTCATACGCAGTTTGGGGTCCATGGTTCATTTCCATGCTGTGCTCAAGTGTTCTTTAGCTGTGGGTTGGAAACCCTTGAGGAAATCCAGGATTACCCTCCAAACACCTTACTCTCCTCTGCTGTTGGCTTCTCCTTCTGCCCAAATTCCAGCTAAGAAGAAACCAGCCTTTGACATGGGATACCTCTGTCCCCTTTGCCACTAACATCCTTGAGTCATCAAAGTCCTTTTGTTAAATGATGCTGTTTGCTTCCTGGAATCTAGACTCAGAAAACCTTGCTTGCACTGCATGTTTCTGTACTTCATCTGTGGACATCTCCTCAAAGGTCTGGAGAGCCTTTGCTGCCAGCTATGCCTCAAATGACTGATTCCCATCCACATCTGCAATTCCATGTAGAAGTGAGATAAAGCACAGGGAAAACAGAGGTGTTTCATGGGCAGAGTGAGGTTCACTGCCTGGATGGGAGTTTCCAGGCAGTCACAGCTTTGTTCCATCTCAGAGGAACTGGGTGCATCCCTCAGATGGCTCTTTGCATTTGTTGCCTTTCTAAGGACGGTGTTTTCTTTCATCTCATTGCCTTCCACTGACCTTCCACTGGAAACAAAGGAATGTTTGTGTGTTCGAATGTGGTGCTTTCTTTTCTGCCCTCAAAAAAAAAGAAAAGGGATCATTATAGAGCCTTGCATGGATGTGCACGAACTGAT